AAAAGAATATGTGTCAATCATATTTTTCTTCCAACAATGCAACCAAATATAGCGGTTACAGTTCTGAATGTGTCAATCAACTTTAAGTTCCAACATTAGCCGTTACACATTTGAATAATTTGCTGCCAAATTTAAAATTATTTTAATAACTGATCGAAAAAATAAATAATAAAAATATATATATATTAAGGTGTAACGGTTTTAGCAAATTAATGAGTGATTAATTAAAATAATGTAATTTTTTTTGGAGGGATATTAAAATAAATTTTATTAAATGTTTTATTAAATGAATTAGCTAGTAATTATATATATATAGATGTGAGCCGTTCAAAGACAGCTAACTACTCGTGACGGGCTTTAAATGCAAAGGTCTCTCTATCAGTTAGCGATAAAACTGGAAAATTAGCAACGAAAATGATGGGGGGAAAATACATAACTAACCTAGTTATGAAAAAGAATTCCATAAAAATGCTTAAATATATTGAATTTCAAAATTACTCCAACAAGGAGTCAAAAATACTCCAACAAGGAGTTACAGTAATTCAAAATTTTAACTGCCCTCTTTCTCTCTCTTCCTTCTAACTCCCACACTTCTCGTTAATTTTTTTTTTTCTCTTCTGCACTTATCTCTTTCTTTTTCTTAAATTCTTCTTCTTAAATGTCTAAAGAAATAAACCAACAAAAAAAAAAATTAATCAATTGGTTATGTACATAATTATTAAATCAGATTAAAAGGAAAAAAAATCGAAAACAAAAGAAAAGTTAAACAGAAGACCGAATCATTCAGAAACCATTGCCACACTAACTAATCACTCTTGGTAAGTTCCTGTAGTTTTTCCTTTGACATCGTAACATAAAGAAAAACATCTTTCAAGAAGAAATTAATATAAAAAAATTAACAATAAAACATTTTCAAGCAACATAAAAATAACCTAAAAGCAACACAAAAATAGCATAAAAAACAACATAAAAACGGATGCCCACAAACTCGGTAACCTGCTCATAGGCAAAAATTCATAACCGGTGCAGCTATTGAGCCCAGAGAAATTGGGTCAACTGGGAGCTAATTATGGAGCCCAGAGAAAAGTGCATAATTATGCATTTTTCCTCTTCACTGTCTCCACATCATTTTCTCTCAATTCTCCATCTTCTTCACGCCAAAAACCTAGTTCGGTTCTTAGAAATTTAGAATCAGACGCAACCTATTTCTACTTATATGGACAAAAATTTTGTATAAACACAACAATATAATGAATCAGAAAAACAAATCACAGCTTGAAGGTGTTTACTTGTGAGAAAATTACACATACGAACAAATTGATTACACAACATACCTCTGTATTTCATGATTTGCACGAAGAAGATGAGAGGAGATTGGAGATGGGCTTGAGCACAGTATTAGCGAATCATCTCTTTTCGGTAGCGACGAATGGTGAATTTTCGGCATTGACGTGGGTCTATCGGCGGTACCCGCGATTCATAAAAACTTGCCGCCGTGTGTTGCTCCGAAACATCTCTTAAGATTTATCCCATCTAAAAAAATGAGAGATTTTGAGAATTTTTAGGTTAGTTTTCTGTTTTATAAGAAAAAAAAAAAAGAGAGAGATGAGGATGGAAAGTTGTTTATCGTGCCCAAAGAGGAGAGAGAGAGAGAAATAAATGAGAAAATATAAGGATGGAGATATAAATAAATATTTAAAGAAGAGACATAAAGAAAAATGAGAAAATAATAATTATTGTTTGGGGTAGAAATGAAAATCAAAGGAACAGTTTTGGCTAAATAACAAAGCGTCACAACTATGTAAAGATTGGTTGAGAAAAGACAAACAGCGTCATTATTTCAAATGATGGTCCAGAGTATGTTAATTTAACAATTGGGCTTATTATTATACAATTCAAAGGAAAAAATAATAATAATTTACGCATGTTCAACGACGGGCCTATAAATTTAGTTGAGGCCTTGTGGGAGTCCAATAAATAATTATAACCACTATATAAAATGGCATAAAATAAGTGTTTAAATTAAGAGAAATTTTTGTCTCTCCTATAAGATATAAAAGTATTTTCAATTTTACCTTAATGTAAAAGTATTTTCAACAATACCTAAACTAGCTATTTTATTTAAGAGATTGCATCTAAATCAGTTATCTTGTAATGTGCGTGAAATCCGCGATTAGGAAAAAAATAATAATAATAACTGATTCATTTATTACTTCTTTAATTCGCGCAACTTGTACATTGTAGTTCAAACAGCCGCCAGGTAGTATATTTCGAGATTATGTTAGTATATATTCAGTGTATGTTGCAATATTATATTCGCGCAGCGGCCAGGTGGTATATTTTGAGTTTATGGTAGTACATATTCAGTATATGCGCAATAAAAAAACAAGACTTCCACAAAAAAATTATATCTTTTTTTTATTTTTATACATAAAAGTATATAGAAACACCAAAAATTCTGAAATTTTGGGGGGAATTATTACCTGACATACACAAAAAATATACATCAAATATACTAAAAATGTGTAACAGGTGCAGAAAGCCAGTGACAAAAGTGTATAGCATAGAAAGAGAAAAGATACTTCGGATAGAGAGAAAAGTTACCTCGGATATACCCACCAGATGACCCGAGAAAAAGTTACTTAGGATATACTCGGATATACCCAACATATAACACAAGAAAAAAAGGGATTATTAAACAGATAACCAGAGAAAAGTTACTTCGGATATACTCGGATATACCCAACATATACCCAACTCGGTTGTAAATATACCTTCGAATTATAATCATATCATACAAGAAAAAAAAAAAAAAAGGAAAGAAAAAAAGGGGCAAATTCTAAGGAACACGAGACGGATTCTTCTTGTCATCCACTCAAGCAGGAGGGTAAACTCCCCGGTGCTGCGCGAACTAGGAATTGCCGGAGGAGGGTCGCGTCGGGGTGGTTGTTCGCGGGCGGAGGGCGATCAAAATTCGGTCATGGGCCTGGTATCTCTTGAATAGAGGCGGCGATAGTGACTGAGGAACCGCTGGGAAGCTTCGTGGATGTGCTGCAAACTTGGTGATGGTGCGATTGAGAGACTGATGATTGTTCCTGGTGCGCGATGCGGGAGAGAAAAAAGAACGAAGAGAAAGTTTACGTTTTAGGGTCTGCGGGGAATCTGATGATATCAATATCTGTTGCGTGGAATTAGAATGTTGTTGAGGGGTTTTAATCCCAATTAAATACATGTAACTAGGTTAATCATGTTTTTAGGTATAATTAAAAAAATTTTATGTGGTTTAGGTGATTTTAAAAAAGAAAATAAATAGGGTGCAAAAGTATTAAATATTTTAAGCATAACAATAGGGCATGCAATTTCCTCTTAAATTAATTAAAAGCCACATAAAATAATTTTGTTTGTATTTTTCGTTTAATAATACTCTCTTTGATATAGCAGCTTGGTATTGAGCTGGAAACACATTATCATAATTTATTATTTTTAATTAGCTAACCAATTATAATTTTACACATTTAATATTATATAAAAATAACATTAACTTCAGGTAAAACATTATGTAATTATAATTATAATTATACAATATTATACTTTTGTTTATTCAAATCACGGGTCAGGTTGGGGATGGCCTGGCCAGCCGGGTCATCATGCTCGAAAACTCTGAACCGGCCCTTTTCTAAGCCCAGGCTGAGTCGGCGGGCAGTTCATAAAGAAAAATTTACATATCACAGCCTATTTGAGTATTGACAAGTAATATACAGTGAAGTATATGTTTTTTTTTTTTGTACAATGAAGAAGGCCAAAGGCCTAGGCCAGAACGTGCCTGGGGTACGACACCCCAATATTATCATGTTATAACCACTCTCCCAAACCTTCAGGTGGAGCCGAAAGCTGGTGCAAACCGATCAAGTAATAAACCGCCAAACTCTCCAAACGATCTGCCACGACATTCGCTCCCTGTGGACGTGCGTAAGGCGCACAGACCATTCTCGATTAATTAGCTCCCTAATAGCTTGAACCAAAGCCTCATTATTCCCATAAGAGCCTTCATGTTCGTAACGCTTTGACTATCAACCTCGACAATAACATTCTGAAGACCCCGATCCCACGCTAGGACCAAACCCTAAAAAAGTCCCCAGAGCTCAGCTCCAATAATTGCACATGAGCCAATATTCATAAGGAACCCCCTATCCCGCGCCCCATGTCATCCTGAATCAAACCTTCTGAGCTACTCAAGCCCGTGAGCTGGCTAAAAGCCCCATCCGTATTGACTTTGACCCATCCGGCCAAGGGGATGCGATATAAGACAAACGAATTTTATGTGTGGCAGGAATGCTATTTTAAATATAATAATAATACTAATAATAATAATAATAATAATAATAATAATAATGTGTTTATGAGAAAAAAAAAAAAATAACTAACCGACTTTCTAAAATTATTATATAGATAATTTATTAATTAATAACTGTTTATGATACGGAATTGTACGTAATGAAATCTCGGCACCTTCACTGGCACCGACTCACGTCACCACTCGTCATCTTACATCTAATCTAACACAAAAAAGGATTCCTAATCATCCTAGTGGCGGCGGAGACCAAACAGCCAACACCAACTCCATTACGTGGCACTCTCCTATTGGCCAGAATACTCTAGCTACTCGTGAGCTTCAACCCATAATCACAACCTATAAATAGAACCCCTCCCCCCCATCAAAAATTCATTACTCATCATAGTCCCATAGTTATTATTACCGTTTTATATTAATCAATTACTACTGCTTCATTCATGGCTTTCAAGGATGTGGCTGTCTGCTTTCTTCTGCTATTTGCATCAGGTATATTTTTAATTGCTACGGTCCCGTTACGGAATTATGATATTATGTTTGAAGGACTAACTTTGAGTTTTATGTGCTTTCTTGATTGTTGGTAAAGAATTCTTCGTAGGCATAGCTAATGCAGCCGATCAAAACTTGGGCACGGTCATCGGAATCGACCTCGGGACGACATATTCGTGCGTGGGAGTTTACAAGAATGGGAAGGTGGAGATCATAGCCAACGACCAAGGCAACCGAATCACCCCTTCGTGGGTCGCATTCACCGACACCGAACGTCTCATCGGGGAAGCCGCCAAGAATCAGGCGACCGTTAATCCCGAACGCACTATTTTCGATGTCAAGCGAATAATCGGACGAAAGTAAGTGCAATATATATATATATTCTCCTTTTCTATCATTGATTGAATGAGGGAAGTATAGACTAAAGACGTGTTTGGTGTTTGGTGTGTTGTAGGTTTGACGACCCGGAGGTGCAGAGGGACATGAAAATGTTGCCGTACAAGGTGGTGAACAAAAACGGGAAGCCTTATATCGAGGTGAAGGTGAAGGATGGGGAGATTAAGGTGTTCAGCCCCGAGGAAATTAGCGCCATGATTCTTCAAAAGATGAAGGAGACGGCAGAGTCGTTCTTGGGCAAGAAAATCAAAAGTGCAGTTGTCACTGTACCGGCATATTTCAACGACGCTCAACGTCAGGCGACTAAGGACGCTGGCACGATCGCGGGGCTCCATGTTGCCCGCATCATAAACGAGCCAACAGCCGCCTCCCTAGCCTACGGCCTCGACAAGCAATCGGAAGCTGCTAAGAACGTCCTCGTCTTCGACCTCGGTGGCGGGACCTTCGACGTGAGCGTCCTCAGCCTCGACGGTGGCGTGTTTGAGGTTCTGTCCACTAGCGGCGACACGCATCTCGGCGGGGAGGACTTTGACCACCGCCTCATGGACTACTTCGTCAAGCTTATAAAAAAGAAGTACCAAAAGGACATCTCAAAGGACAAGCGGGCACTCGGGAAGCTTCGTCGGGAGTGCGAGCGGGCCAAGCGGGCCCTCAGTAGTCAGCATCAGGTGCGGGTCGAGATCGAGTCGGTTTTCGATGGGGTGGATTTGTCGGAGGCGCTGACGAGGGCGAGGTTTGAGGATATGAATGTGGATTTGTTTAAGAAGACGATGGGCCCTGTTAAGCGGGCCTTGGAGGATGCGGGCTTGAAGAAGGGTGATGTGGACGAGATTGTGTTGGTCGGTGGGAGTACGAGGATACCTAAGGTGCAGGAGATGTTGAGAGAGTTTTTTAACGGTAAGGAGCCGTGTAGGGGAGTGAATCCCGATGAGGCGGTGGCGTATGGGGCGGCTATTCAGGGAGGAGTCCTCAGCGGCGAGGGTGGCGAGGAGACAGAGAGTAATGTCTTTACTTCTCCGTTTTTTTTTTCTTTCATTATGTGAATTGAATTTCGAATTTCTTATGAGTAGCAATTCTGATGAATGTTTGTTTTCGACTTGTTTTTTTCGTGCAGAGGTTGTTGTGATTGATAGGACGCCGTTGAGTTTAGGTATCGAGACGGTTGGTGGTGTGATGACGAAGGTGATCCCGAGAAACACAGTGAAACCAACAAAGATGTCGAAGGTTTTCACTACTTATCAAGACCAACAAGACACGGTCTCTATTAAGGTATGAGACGAGAGGGAAAAGAAAAGAACATAAAATACATTAGTAATGTTCGAACTTAGGGGACTTACAACATATTTCTGATCAAATTACAGGTTTACGAAGGCGAAAGGGCTTTGACGAAAGATTGTCACGAGCTCGGGAGCTTTGAACTCAAAGGCATTCCACCTGCTCCAAGGTAAAAAGAAACGAAAAAATTTAGCTGCGGCAAAAATTTGTTTACCTTTTGCAGTCTAATCTTACAAATACTTAGATCATGAGTTGCGAATTCTGATACTCGCGTTTTTATTGCAGGGGAGTGCCTCAGATAGAAGTGACGTTTGAGGTGGATGTGAACGGCATTCTCCAAGTGACTGCACAAGACAAGGCGGCCAAGAAGTCCAAGTCCATAACCATCACCAACGACAAGGGCCGCTTGAGCGAACGAGAAATTGAGGACATGATACGGGAGGCTGAGGAGTTTGCCGAGGAGGACAAAAATGTTCGGGAGAAGATCGAGGCTAAGAACAAGCTCGAGACCTACATTTTCAACATGCGGACCACGATCCAGGACAAGTTTGCAGACAGCGTAGAGCCCGAGGACCGGGAGAAAATCGAGAGCGCATTAAGAGACGCGAATGAGTGGCTGGACGAGAACCCGAGTGCCGAGAAGGACGAGTTGGATGAGAAGATGAAGGAGCTAGAGGATTTGTGCAGTCCGATTGTGAGAAGGGCGTATGAGAAGAGTGGTGGGACTCGGGGCAGTGATGGTGAAGACGAGGATTCGCATGATGAGTTATAAAATATATATGGTGACAGATTTATTTATTTTTTTTCTTTTTTCCCCTCTTTTTTTCCCTTTTGGGCAGCAAATATGTCAGTTGTTACATGTTATATTATGGAGTAATAACTATTGAAGTTTCACAATTGTTTTGAATCTCGAGTTGTAATAGCTTTTAAGCTTGGTTAATTTGATGACATCTTTAATGTCCTAAGTAAAAAAAAAAATTAAAAATGCACCATGTATAATATTCAAATCCATTTAAGACGCAAAAACCAGAACATAAATTTTGCCGTGTCTTACAAAAACCAGAAATAAAACTTTAGTCTTGAATGACTGCCAAAAAAATCATAAAAACTACGAAACATCATAAATTGCTCTGTAAGACAACAAACATTAGGCCTTGACCCGACCATAGAACTTTTGCTTCTCCTCGGTTGTCTGGAACCGCCCGTGTCCAAACTTGGACGAGGTGTCGATGAACTTGAGCTTAATTTCCTCGAGGGCAACACGAGAAGTCTGGTTCAGCAGAGTTTGCCTGAGCGTAACAACCCTTTTCTTAGGTCCCACACAGCAGCCCTTTATCATGATGTAATCATCCTTCACAACACCATAGTGAGGGAATCCACCCATAGGGGTGATATCCTTCTCAGTCCTGCATCAGTTCAATCTCACAAAGGGTTAGTTGTCAAGAATCGGAAACATCTTATATTGCATTCAATAGCTGGAACATTTTTCTCATACGAATTCAGCAAAAATCAAAAGAACATTCAGAAGGTATTAAGCAATATTTTCTTCGAGGCATGTCGAGCCAATCAGGATAGTAACGAAAAACTTTAGAGCCTGAATTTTTTCATTTCGAAGTATAAAATCTGTCAATATTCACAAATACCCTACTCAGGTGGACTTTTTAAATTTATCAATGTAAATATAAATACTTCTGTAAGAAGAAAAAAATAAAAAACAGAAACCCTTGTGTACAGCATATAACACTGGAAACGAGGTGTACAGGATTTTTACCTATCAAACTCGGTACTAGCAGTATGTTCCTCTTTGCCAGCCTTGCCAAGCCTGTAAATCTTCTTGTTCATTTCAGTTCTGTGATGGTACCCATTCTGACCGGCCCTAGCAACGGTGAAGGACACCCTAGCCGGATGCCAAGCACCAATACAAGCAACCTTACGAAGACCCCTGTGGGTCTTGCGAGGAAGACGGGTCACACCCCAACGAGTAACAACACCCTCATAACCCTTACCCTTGGTTACACCAATGACGTCAATCATCTCATCTTTCTGGAACACAGCATCAATTGGGACCTGCTTCTCAAAGAACCCATACGCAAAGTCAACCTTCTGAGCAATAGTTCCGCCATTCACTTGAATCTCCATCAGGTGAGCCTTCTTCTGCTTCAGACCCTTCATCTTCCGTATCTGCAACAACAAAAGAAAGGATATAATCAATATCAAATGCAAATTAAAAAAAAAAAAAAAAAGAAACAAGATTGACCCTTCAGTCGTCATAATTGTTAAGAAAGTCCAGGCATATTACAAATGCTTTTGTCGTGTCCTGCAACACATTCTTGATTTTTGACATTTGAGGGACGTGAACTAGTAAAATAAAGTATCTCCTAAAATATTCGTAAATACAAAACATAACAACATTCTTTTGTAATACGACTGGACTTAAAAGGGTAAACTTTATCACGCAATAAAACAATTAATATTCTGGTTACCAGAGCCACTCTGAGAAGAGCAAATACTATCGAGAATCAACACCAACAAATAGACCACAAATAGACAGTCTTGAGAAAAGATTGGCTTAAAGATGACCTGAGTATGCGCCAACACACGAACGACAGATGCATATTTCTTCAGTTTATCCAGCTGTGCCTGGATATCTTTCTTCCCCTCATCAGTCTCGAGTCTTGCTGAGTATTTGCTGAAGGCTTTCTTCTTGGACTTGCACCAGTTCTTGTAGAACCTCCTCCTCACCTCCTCACTCAGATGTTGAGCCCAGACCGTGTTCAGGCACCGAAGGCCACGAGGGGTCTTCACATACCCAACCACGCCAACAATGACCATCGGTGGTGTTTCAATTACTGTAACGGCTTCGCATGTTTCCTTCTTGTGAAGCTCTGAAATCATTAATTGCAAATTGTTCAATCTATCAGCCACCAGTGGAAACTTATTATCATTCATGTAAAATATAATTAAAAAAAGGGATAAAGATAGCCTTGTGAGTCTACAAGAGATTATAAGTGTACAAAAAGGACAAAGGCAGTAGATAATTAAGATGGCACAGGATGTTCGAGAAGCTAATCTCCAACGGATTTTTAAAGGCATCTGAAAGTTGGTAGAAAAGATCATTGTAACACAAATTCTCATTCATCACAACAATCAACAGATTATTCTAAAACAACGTAACGTGGGAAGAAATTTGAATGAGAAAGTAGCTGTTGGTAGAGTTCCGGGGAAAGGACAGTGTTCCTAAAAGGATAGAAGCAAATAGCTGAAGATATGTGACAAGCAAATTTACACAGCCAAAGAATGTGCTAAATATCTGTCATAAACAAATTCACAATGTTTATTCGAGTAAACCCACTCCAAAATAAGGGCATTAGGCAAGGCACATTGTTTCAAAACATTTATGAAACAAAATTTACTTGATCCAGGTTTCAAAACATTTATGAAACAAATGTGCTAAATATCTGTCATAAACAAATTCACAATGTTTATTCGAGTAAACCCACTCCAAAATAAGGGCATTAGGCAAGGCACATTGTTTCGAAACATTTATGAAACAAAATTTACTTGATCCAGGTTTCTCGACTTCTCGGACAATGTGGGTCATGCCGGCCTTGTAACCCAAGAAAGCAGTCAGCTTGCAGGGCTTGGTTGGATCATCCTTCGGGAAAGCCTTAACTGCAGTTATAAGAATCATATTAAAACCACTACAAATGAAAGCAAAACCACATTACAGAAACTAAACCCAAATACACAGATGATAACAATCCAGTACAAATTGTGAGGCCAGTGCAAAAATCAATTGCACAGAAAATGCTTACTATAACACCATTAGCACACAAATAGACCAACAAAACATAAATCAAAGGAATAAAATCAGAAGGTTACCCTTTCCCCGGTGGCGAGCAGCCCTCTTCCTCGGGAGGAAACCGAGGGACCCATGCCGTGGGTGCTCAAACTTCCGGTGAGACATTTTTCGCCTTCTTCACCACTGAAACAACAGACTGCTAGGCTGCAAGAGAAGAACAAAAAAAAAAAAAAAAAAAAAAACCTATCTTTCAGGGTTCACTCAATTTGTACTATTTGAACAAGTATTAGGCTGGAACTAGTATTCGATCTTGTGCATTTGCACAAACATAAATAAAGTATTGTGAGTTATTTGTATGCATATAATGATTAATTATTTTTTTTCACCTTTTTGCTGGCCAAATTTACAATTAAAGAAGTTAAAATATTTATTTTTGAAATTGTGTTTATCTGATTGGATGTAATGTATATTTTGAATGTCTTTTTTTGTGAATAGTTTATTACTAGTACAACACCCGTGTATTACACGGGTGCTTGTTAAAAAATTAATCTTAAATTTTAAAATTAATGAGAAAACTATATTAAATTTAGTTTACTTTTTTACAAAAAAAAATATATTACTATATATTTTAGAATGATATGTGTTACTTATGACTTACATGTGTTATATTATATTAGTTTTTATAACTTATATCATATAACTACTTGAAATATAAATATATTAGTTGATAAATAATTTTATTTTTCTAATAAGTATTAACAATAATTTTATTGTCGTTATAAAGATAAATATAAATTATTATTTTTATACATACAATATGGATGTTAAATCGAAGTTCATCAAAATAAGATTAATTTGATATATTGCATATGTAAAACTAATGAAAAATACAAAAGTTATTAACTTTTAAAATATATATACAATTCAATAGTTATAATAAGCAATGATATTAAAATACAATTAATGCATGTAACATGACCATAAATAATCAATATATTTATGGTAATCCGAACCTAATTATTTTTGGTTTGGAATTAAATTAAAATTTACCCAAATTATTTAGGAATTTCAAATACGTTATTTATTTAAAAAAATAATTTAAATGTAACCACAATGATACACTTTTCTAAAGAAACTGGAGGCAATTGGACGAAAGTTATAATAACATCTAATCACATTATACGGTCAACACATTATATGGTCAACTGTCAGTAATCAAAAGTTTAAAATGTTATTTGTAATTTTAAAGTGATTAGTGTTGATTATTTAATAATTAAATGAAAGATTAAATACATCAAAAGTAACGATTTTTGGAGGGAAAATGATTAAATTGCCACATAGATAAAATTAAATAGGTTTTATTAAATGTTATTAGCTATTAATTATATATATATAGATATTGGGTTTGAGACCCTGCAGAGTTTGGGCTACGTATTATCTTCAAGCCCGTTTAGAAAACCCTTGATGAAACCCACTTGCCCATGTATACTAACATAATATTTTTTGGGAAATTTTCTCTTATCCTATATGAAATTGAAAATTTTATAAATATACCATCCATTAACAAGTAATGTAGTTCTACCTAGCTGTCAAGATTTAACTACATTTATGCCTAAAATTCAGTTACCTAAAAAGTGGACTCCATCCACATTCCACTCCCATGATTTCCGCCATTTCTATAAGAAAAAAAAAACTTTGCCTTCGTCGAGATGGAATGAAAATCAGCCGTTTCCATTAAAAAAATAAAAAAATCAGCCATTTGCTTAATTCGCGCAGCTTGTACGTTTTTTAAAAGAGAAATAAAAACATGTATTGTAATTCACGCAACTGTCAAGTGGTATATGTTGTGTTTATGTTAGTATATATTCAATATATGTTGCAACGAAAAACATGTATAACAGGTCACTTATATTCTCTATACAAAAAAAAAAAAAAACCTTCTAATATATTGAACATATACTCTCTATACACAGAACATATAATGAACAGTGTACAAAAAATCTTCTAATATACTGAACATATACTCTTTATACACGCAACATATACTGCCGTGAACATATATTGTACATATACTGGAGATATATTGTACATGAAGATGAGGAAATTTGATTTCACATAGAAATAAAATTAATAACCTTGCGATCATGAATAATGAAACAAAAATAATCGATAAATATGAGAAAGATCACAAAAGAAGAAATCCAATAAGAAATATTATTAGCCTTCATCGTCCAAAATCTCAGGAAATTTATAGATTTAAAGACGCATATTTTTCAAACATACACATATTTTGTACCTGAAAACAAAAAAAAAAAA